GAGGCGAGCGGCGGTGCTGAGGCGGCGCGGTCGCTGCCGAGCGCCCCAGCAGAGACACCGCCGGCGCTGCAGGTAGGGGCTGCAGGTGCCGCCCGTGCCGTTTTCCCCCTCACGCCGGTCCCTCAGCCGGTGCGGGCGGGACGCGGGCGGCTACACTTCCCTCGGAGGAAGGCGCTGCTGCGGCGCCATTAACCGTCCCCTGCTGCCCATGACGCATTTGGGGTGAAGCCCGGGGAGGGGGACGTGGCTGTCTCTTGCTGCCCGGTGTCTTCTGCACATGGTGCTGGCGATTGCGATGGCTGCCTGGCCTCCTGCCAGGCACCTGAGGTCAGATCTCCGCCCGAAGATACAGCAAGGACAGGGGAAGACTAGTGTTGATGGGGCTCAGTGCTTTTCGGAGTGTGTGGGGCAGATTGTAGTCTTGTGCGGTCCTTCCCGTGCCTGCGAGGGATGCTCTCTGAAGGTGTAGCCTTATCAAGGCCAGGGTATCTGCGTCTGTTAGGGGTCCTCTAAAAGATTTTGGTTATAGAGCTTTGACACTACTAAGTAGGAGTTACTAACAGAAGCTTATAATAAAAGTATGTCTTCAACATTAGCTTCACAGTTTGACTTCTTATATAAAATGTGTTCCATGGTTGACTGTAATGCAGATCCATTATTCTTCCACGAAGTAATGAGCCTCAGTCTGACAGTACTCGCTCTTTGCTACAAGACATACCTTAGGTTTATCTAAAGCAACAGAGGAGGGACCTACCAGTATAGCTAAGGGATCCATTGTGCTAATTTGACAGAAATGGATTGGTAGTTTAGGTGTAGTTTCCATGTAAGTTCTGGTCTGAAGGTAGCTTTTGGCTTTGTATTTTATTTTTTTTATTAAATCTGACGCTTTGGAAAGCAGCAAGCAAAGGGATGATTCTCTGGGGAGTTTAGTGAGCAGTGGTGTATAGCATAGATAAGTTCTGAAGGCTTAGTAAGGCGTAATGTACACAAGGCATGTTTAGAACTGACTGCAGGAGATGTCTTGTGTTTGGATCTGGGTTATAAAGATGCTTGAGAGTGTAAACAAAATTTTTAAAAGTTTTAGGTGTTTAGTGCTGAGGGAACTTTGATTCTGTGTTGTAGTTCCATTTTATGCAGTGGATAAACTGACGAGCAAATCATTGTTTAGAATATATCAAATCTAACCCAAATGTTAACAAAACTTCAAAAATTCACTTTGAATGTGAACTTTTGATCTCTGTGGAATGTATTGGCCAAATCACTACTTAGATTGTGAGCTTTTTTTTTTGAGGCATGATTTGTATCTCTGTACCAAGTATAGTACTGTTCAATAAATAACAGTTTGTGACAAAACTAATCAGTCTTGCTTCTGATTTCTAGCGGAAAAATCCTGTCTACCTGGATGTATCTGTTACAGCTGGCTTGCTTAGGAAGTTTGTGGCACATCACCCATCTAGCTGTTGTGAGCAAAAGGGCTTGCTTTCTACATAGCCAGTCAGCAGGAGAGGTGACTTGTTCTTTTATGGTATTTAAAGCACCTAAGAATGCTAGCTAGCAGCTCAAGAAAGAGCGTAAACGTTCTCACACAACTTGGAGATGATGTCTAGTATAATGGAATGAAAAAGCTGTGCTTTTGGCAAGCCAGAGAAGGGGTCTAATTTTAGTTTAAAATAACTTTTCAGTGGAATATGAACTTCAGGACTCAGAGTTACGCCATGATATTGTAATTTTTCATTCTAAGTGTATGTCAGTGTTAACTAGCCCTGAGATTTCAAGCCAGCTTGGCTATACTGGATCCTTGCAGCTGTGCTCCATCCCCCAGTGGGATCCCTTATAGGGAAACAGTTGAAATGAGTGGAAGAAATGAGCAGTGAACTTTGCTTTGAGCCACTCTGCTAACTTTACAAAGTTCACCCTGAAGAAGCTCTGGAATGAGACAATCACAGTAGGTCCTTTTAGTATCTGATCGCTCTTCAAATAAACACGCTACAAGGTAGAAGATTTTTCAGCTGTTCAAAGCAGTGCTTGTATTATGTGCAGATTGTTAGTACCAAAGGTCTTGTAAATGCAGTACAGGAGATTCACCTGGGAATCTGTGTTTTGGTCTTAGCTTGTGCAAATTAGTGCAAGGCTTCTTAATTTAGCAGTAGTTAACACAAAAGCATCAAGGCACTCTTTAAGTGTGACTCTGATCTTTGGTCATAATGTAATTCTAAAGCTTAGTTGATGGCTGTAAGTAAATTAGCTAATGTCCTTTAAAATGTCTTTGGTGTATTAGTTGCAGAATATATAGAAATTTTGTCCAAAGCTTTCCATATATGTGGCACTCGGTAGGAAGGGGCAAGTATAGGAGTGTCTGTATCCTACAGTATTCTTTATAAGAATAGCAAAATAAATAGCAGCCAAATAAAAATGTTGAATGTATCATGTGGCTTACTTCAAGAGAGACAAAATGAGATTTTTGGGGGGATAAATTAGATGGTTTAATTCTGTTCAGTAGTCACACATTGCTCTTGACATACTGCATTTACATGTGGATAAAAACTCAGAATGCACATAGAACCACAGCCAAGTTACTGTAGAAATACTAGATACTGATTCTTGTTCTAACACTGAGCTGCTTTGTACATAATGAAATACTATGCTACATCAGATCTTGCAGATGTTCAGGAGACTTTTAGCTGCTTTTATTTTTGTCTCAAGTGTTTAGTTCTCCTTTTTTTAAATGATCTTCCTCTTGGTGTTTCTATTCTGTAAGTAAATAGGCAACATTTTTCCAGTGGTGGTTGAGCAAGCATCTGCCTTGTGGTTCAGAACCTCTGTGTGGAACTGCTGTATTTCTGTACAAATGAAGGTCAGATCTGTGCTTCCCACAAAGCTTCGTTATCTGATTACAAACTGCTCAGACAAGAGTGTGGTAGGAAGTTGTGAAGTACTTAGTGTGAAGGTATAAAAATGTGATGTTGACAACAGAGAAGTTTGGTCAGTGATAGCTGGATTATAAAAACGAAAGGTCAAAACTTTTTTCTTAGTCGTGGAGAAAATTGTGCTTTGCTGTTAACCATCAGCACTAAGTTCCTTCATATTTATTATCGTGTGAGCAAAGACAAAGAAACAAGGAAAAACACCTGGTAATGCTAAATGCTTCCCTACAGTTTCCCCAGCTCTGGCATGCTTCTGTCCCCATGTTCAGAAAAATGGATATTTAGTTATTCAGATGTAACTGTGTGTGCTGGTTTTCATCATTTACTCCCGAGTGTTGCTGCTGAAGAAGACAGAGTTGAGCAACCTGTAGGAAGCCTGAATTAGTGCATTATATCCACTGAAGTTTAGTAGTGGTTTCTTGAATCTGGTATGTGTATGTTTTGTAGTAGCGTGATATCTCTTCTGGATATGAAAATATTTGTGACATAGTGTTCTGTTTTAAATATTTACATGAGAAAAATCTCAGGATTGGGTTTCCTGTCAGCTCTGCAGCTAACAGTAATATTCACTCTCTAGTTGCTTTTTCCAGTAACACTAGTAAAATGATGTTATGTGCTCAGCTTGTCAGTGTAGCTCTTGTTAGCTTCAGAGATCTCCAGGGAGAAGTAGTCCTGTTTTTACTGAATAAACTATGTCCAGACTTTGTTGTGCTTTGTGGCTGCACATCTACAATCCCACTGTGTGCAGAGATCGGTGATGCATTAACTGATGTGTGTTATTAGCAGCCTCGCACCAAGAGAAGAGGTTTTAGTTCTCAACTAATGTAACTGCTGCTTTCATCTTAGCCTTTGTGGGGGTGTTTTGGCATGCATCATGCAATCCTTCAATTCCAAACGTAAAACGTTCCTTTTTTTAAGACTGATTTGGTATTGTTGTGTTTGGGCAGAGTAAGAGCTGTGCTGTAAGAGACTATTTTTATTCTGGTATGTAATTTTCTATTATGATAGCTAACATATTTGTATAAAATTTTAATATGAACTAATTTAGCAGCTATGGAAGAAAGGTGCTTGTTGCCAGGGTTTACTTAAGATTGGATTCTAAAGCCAGTTTTTTACATGTTTTGTCATATGCTGTTAAACTCTCTGACTATGGATGTTTAATTTCTCTTGGGATGCAAGATAATAGAATTTGATTACAGATCCACTTAATTTCTTGTATTATTTCGAAGGACTACAAGTTCACATTGCTGACCATAATGAGGCTGTTATGGCTACATCGGGGAAGTCGTGCAGTGTTGCAAAACAATAGCACACAGTACTACAGAGAAGCTGAAGATTTGTACAGCAGCTCTAATTTAGATGTGCCAAAGGACTTCGGCTGTCATCATGTGAGACCAAGTGATCAGTCTGTCTTTCAAAACTTGAAGTAGGTGCTTGAAGTGAGATGAGAATTTAGTCACTGTTCTGGGTAGTAGTGTTACTTCACAGACTGCTGAAGGAGAGCAACTTCACATATTTTTCAAAATAAGTTTCTCTCTGAATGCCAGCAGTAAAGGGGAAGGATCTACCTGTCCTTAGCAAGTCATCAAACCTTCTGTTTCAGGCTTTAGAAATAACTTCTTTTGTGACAGGCACAAGACACTATTTAGTACTAGAAACCTGTTCTGTGCGTACACATGCGGGCTATGTTAGTGCATCAGCTATTCCAGTATTGTAAGCTTTCATTTTTAAAAACCTTTTTTTTTTTTTTTTTTAACTGGCTTCCAAAATATCTCTACAGCATGCATCTTTTTTTCCTGGCTTCTGAGCTATAGATGTTACTACTGATGTAAATGTTGCAATCTGGGGAAGTTTTGATCTTTCACAGTGAGAAGAGATGGTTTTTCTACAGGATTGGAAGAGTGGTTTTCTGTGTAAATATAGTCAGTCACCAGTCTACAGAGCAAATATGGTTTTCATGTTCCTGAAATAAACCTAAGTTGAAAACACTTAAACTTGCATCTGAATCTCTGAATAGTCTGTATTCTTCTGAACAGAGTCAAATCTGATGTATAAATAACCTCCCACCTAAATCAAACTGGGTGAAACTTGAGTGCAAAAACCGTGTGCCAATTACATATTTCATTGCTGTGAAAACTAACAGGAGAAGTCTTTAAAGTTTTAATATTTAAATGAGGTTGCATGTTGTATTTCAAGAACCTTACTGCAATCTTTTGAGTAAGTTAAGCTTCTGAAATAGAAGGTATTCCTCCTTAAATATTTAACTTCCAATACCTACTTCGGAGCAATGGTGTGGTCGCTTTTTCAGCCTTTTGTGATACCAGACTGAGAGTAAATGTGTAGGTGTCTAATGCTGTCCATACCTAAGACATCGATTGCTACAGATGTTGGAGAGCTCAAAGAGGCTGTTGTTTCACTTTGGCAAAGAAAACTAACTCTGGTTGGAATGAATTTCTCAATACCTGTGTTAGGAGATTCAGGGTTTTCCTGTTTTTCAGAAGTAGTTTTGAGTGATCTGTTGTGGCCAATCTGAAGTGAGAATATTCCTCTCTGAAGCTACTTGTTGCTAGTTTGTATCTTGGAAGGCTTTTTCTTTTCCTTCCTTCCTGATAAGACTTCTTGCTGCAGAAGTAGCCATGTTAAAAAGTACAAGAAGGAAAGAAAGCTGTTAAGAGCCATATTCTCATATACACAAGCATTTTTGGACACTGGTAAGTGGCTTGCTCAGCTTGGTATTTTTACCAAAATGTAACTTTCCATACTTGGGAGAGATAAAAAAAGGGTTCTGATACTTATGGCGAGTCCTTGGATGTGGCCCACCTGCCAGCATAGGTGTCACTCAAGCTCATCAGCACTGATAAGCTGTTGATTACAATAACGGATTGTTACAGACACAGTTGTAGTGACACAACCCAACTGAACTGGGTTCAGTCTCCAGAAAACAATGTGTAGGCCACTAACAGTATGCAGCCTAGCCCAAAGAAGCAAGGACCACTTCTGCAAAGCATGGTTGCTGAGCAAAAGAAAGCTTGTGAAGGCAGCGGTTACGTGGCCTACCTTCTAAGGGCTCTTACTTGTCCAAATTACTTTAATCATTTAGGGTTAACTTCCTTTTCATTTTCAGCCTCAGCTAACAAGACTATAGTTGGTCAGTATTGATTATTTTTAAAAAGTATTAATGCCCTCAGTCTTCTGAGTTAAACATTTCTAGCTATAAGTAGCTGCAGTTAGTGAGAATCTATGGCCAGTAATTAACTTCTGACTTTCTTCCTACTTAGCTGTCTTTTTCAAAATATACTTTTTATTTGTATATATTGCTTGGAGAATGTTATTACAGGTAGCTAACTTCCAGGTGGCCAGGGAGTTAGCTGACCAATCAACATTATGTAATGCACACTTAACCTGTGAATTAATTGCCAGACTGTACTGTTTGCAGGAGGTTTGCACCTTCAGGGATATGCTTTCCCTTACAGTGCTTCTGTGTAATCTGTCACCCTCTTGGTTACACCAGTACAGCTGGGAACAGAACCACTGAAATGTGTTGTGTCACATCCAGAACTCTGAAAGAACAAAATACATGTCTCTCTTGGAGAGTTTAATTATTCTTGATTAACAGAAGATCTTTTATTGCTATGGGAGTGATCTTGCAAGCAGCACAACAGAGGACAAACTGGTATGAGTGTAGAAACAAGCATTTGGCTGGGGGAGGTAGTTGCTTGTTAAACCAACTGACAGGAAACATGTGAAGCTACAATTTGATTCAGCCTCCTAAAACTTTTTCAGATTCGCTTGTATTCCTGATGCATATAGAAAGGTATTTAGGAAAAATAGCCTTGTAAGTGGTGTGTGTTGTAGACTGTGAAACACCTAGAATTAGAGTTGAAGTTGAGCTTTAGGTTAGCATTCTGTTAACATCATCTAGCACTTCCTTTGCTGCTCAACACCAGTTAGCGCAGTCTAATGTAACTAGGCCTCTGTCCTTTCCTGAAATAATGAAATTAGCAGATTTCCTGCTTTTCTAAAAGCCCTGCAAACATGGTAAACTTCACTTCCAAAAACTTAGATATCACTTGGGTGGGGTTTTGGGTTTTGTGTGCTTGTTTGGAATGTATCAGCTTCTGGGTGAATTTCCTATAATTGAACCTACTGTGAATCTGCTGAAACTGGAATCTTAACAAATGTATTTTGGATATGCAGACAATACGTATAGCAAATGATATCTAGCTTCATGTAGCAATAAACCACCCCATGTTCTTTCTAAACTCTTACTTTGCTTGTCTTACCATGTCACCTAAAATGGTATTTGTTCATATACTGGGAGACTTCAGTTTTTCCTGTATCTGATTATATGCACGTGTTCGGACTGTAAACTATGTGATGCTGCTGCCTGCTTTTTTCTAGTTGTCCATTTTTGGTTGGCACAGCAACTTGTGAGAACCATTTTTAAACAACTGTTTCACAGTCCTTTAATAGCAATGTACTGAAGATGAAAGAGCCCTGCATGGTGGTTGCTTAGTCCCATCTGGAAATAGAGTTGGTTTGAGCTTGGTTGCAGATCCCCTGTTCTCAAATACTAGTATGTATTTACTGGACAAACAGTAATGCTACACTCTTACCTGCTCTACCACCTGTTTTCTGCAACTCTGTATAGTTAGATATATAGGTAGCAAGATTTTCTGTGATGGAAAGTTACAAGCAGTTGGTGTCTCAAAATAGCTCTCAGTTCTTAAGTAAAAGTAACTTCCTTGCTGCATGTAACTTGGAAAACTGGTGGGTGGAGGAAAAGCTAGTCCTTGTCTTAGGCATACGCAAGTGAAGGAAGAGAATGAGGGGGAGTGAACAGTCTCCGTACTGTATTTCTGGTGCTGTTAACAGTCTCAAAATTGTCATGACAACTAGTACTATTTTCCTCTTCAGAATCTTGAAACCATGCATTTTATTTTAAGGTCGTTATTATCTTCCAGCTGATAAATGCTTAAGATGCATTGTTGAATTCACTGTTTTGTGTTCCCTTCTATGGTTACAGTTTTATCTTAAGGAAGAGAGTTGCAAAACAGTGTGTGTAGTTATTCCACATCTCCTTCCTGAAGGGTGACTGGACTCTGTAGGCAGATAGCATCTCAAGCAGTTCTGCATCCCTACAGTCACACTTTCAGCACGTGGGGCTTTTAACCTCAGGCCATCAAAGCTATTTTTGGTGATGAGAAGGAAGTAACAAATGACCTGATGCTTGGCATACTTCAGATCTGCACGAGACAAATTCCGTTTGAAATGTTTCCTTTTTGAGTCAGCACCAAATAAGGATTAGCAGTATTTCTTTTGGAGATACCATTATGGAGATCTACCACACAGGGAACTTTACATATGGGTTGCTTCTGTGAGCTTCTAACAGCTCAGTCTTACCATAATTTCATCAGCAGTTCTTGTAATTAAGTTATTTTCCAACACAGTAATCTTTATGACCTTTTAAAGGTAGTACAAAGAAAATTGATTATCCTGATGTAATAGGCTAAACTTGATTTTTGAAGTCTGCAAGTCCAGTGGCATATTGTAAAATCTGCCCTGGTGCAGTCATGGAGATGTATATAAATAAATCAGATACTAGAGTTGTCTTTTTTTGAATTTGTCACCTGCAGTTCACGATAGTCCCTTTCTTAATTCTCTTGAACAAGGCTTCTGTGTGTGGACTTGCTGACTAAATCATTGCAACAGGGAATGTGATATATCCAGTCTTACTAAATATCAGAGTAGTGATTCATCAGGTGCTGAGTAACAGTCAGTGGATGTATGAGACTTAAGGGGAGAAGAAGCCTCTTGCTGTACAGCCCACTCTTGTGTTACTGCTGGATCTGTGCATGTCTGAGAGATACTCCTTGGTGGAGGGATGACTCTAAAGAGATGAGTTGGTCTGTACAGTCTTACTTTCTGCTGTTCTGTTAAAGCCTGTGCTTTGGGTCTTAAGCAACAAAATGTCATTAAAACGGAGCTTAAAGTGTTGCAGCATGGCAAGAACTACAGTTACACATTCCAAGTGGGTATTTGACTTTCTGCTCTATGTATTCCCATAAATGGCCAGAGTATGGACTCAGTAGGTTTTTTGTGAAGTGTGAAGTACTGTTTGATATGGGCTAATTATGCTTTTCTGATACCTTTAGAACTGAAACTTCCCAGTACTTTGGGCAGAAATAATCAAAATGAGACTGTTAAGAATTACCTCTTGCTCAAACCTCTAGTTTAGAAATTTTTACTTTGACCATTTGTTAACCTTGCAATGCATTTTTCCATTTCAGTGTTACACTGAAGTTACAGCTGACTGTTTTCAAGCCAATTATAAAAATTTTAGGGAAGGGGATCCAAGCCCTACTTTTGTAGGAAAGCTGGTGAATGTAGGTTCTGGGAGTCTACAGAGGTCACTCACAGACCACTGCTGTTAGGGCTGTCATCCTTGGGCCTTGCAGGCAGCTCTGAATGGAGTCAGCCAGCTTGGCTGCTCTAGTCCCTTGGCATATTAAGACTCACTGCTCTGAGCTTACTCAAACGTAGTACGGTTTAAGTAGGTGCATGTGATATTCTTTGTCTCGAGGAACAGCTCTTCTGGAGCTTGAACTCTGCAGACTCTGAGCACACATACTTTCTCCAGATGTGCCCCACAGCTGAAGCTACACAAGACTGACTGGTAGGAGCCTTCAAATCTTTGTTTTGGCTACCTCATCAGTTGCTGGCCTCTGGGCTTAAATCAAACTCTTCCTCCTAGATATTGTTTAAGACTGGAGAGTAAGGGAGTATCTACAATACAGCTAGATTTTCTTTTTTTCCTCCTAGTTGTGTACTTAAAACAGCCTCTGCTAAAAATAAACTTTTTTGTTGTTGTTAATACTATCTTCCCTTGTTCTGTAACAGATCTAGACCTTAGTCTCAGATCCAGCTTGAGCCCTTCTGGAGCTTAGCTTTCCCAAAGTGATTTGCCTTAGACAGCTCTACTTAGAAAAAAAAC